AAAAAAAATATATATATATATATATATATATATATATATGTATTGTATCAAAAATATTGTTTGAGGGGCTTCCCTGGTGGCGCAGTGGTTGAGAGTCTGCCTGCCGATGCAGGGGACACGGGTTCGTGTCCCGGTCCGGAAAGATCCCACGTGCCGCGGAGCGTCTGGGCCCGTGAGCCATGGCCGCTGAGCCTGCGCGTCCGGAGCCTGTGCTCCGCAACGGGAGAGGCCACAACAGTAAGAGGCCCGCGTACCGCAAAAAGAAAAAAAAAAGAAAAAAAAAATAGTTTGAGGATCGCTACCTAGAAAGATTTTTGTTTAAATTTTATCAATGGCCAGTAGGCAGGCAGACTACGGTTTGCAAAGGAAGATTCAATGTCAATCAGCAAAGTGTTGCTTCCAAATTTTGGGCTCCTCCATGAGCATTACTTTGTGGAAACAAGGCATTGACAAAGCCCACTGTTTGGTAATTAGCATCCTGTCAAGTCTCTCCAATCAAGACCCGCAAGCTGCACCTGGTCCTAGTTAAAACACGCTTTGTGGGCAATTCTGATCTGACCCTCAGGGGCCCCCTGCCATGTGCAGAACTGCCTTCAGTGCCCAGTCATAACTACCATTTACAAAATAAGAAGGCCTCTTCATCCAGAGGTTCTGAGAGCTTCTGTCTAAACCTAATGACCTGCCACACCACTTTAACTTCTGTGATAAATGTCCATCCTTGTGATGCAAACATTTGCTCCTCCCCGAAGAAGGTATCTCTTCCTGGGACAGAAGATGCCTCACAAACAAAATCATTGTTGAAACGAACCAAATGAAACATGGAAAAACTCTGGAAAACAAAGACTGTAAGCGCCCTGTCCTCAGGACGAGACCAGTGGAGGAGGAGGTGGCCCTCCCCAGCTTGGCTACCCTTCATTCCTCTCCGGGGCTGGCGTAGAGGTCGTGCTCCTTGATGTAGGCGATGACGGCATCGGGGAGCAGGTATTTCACGCTCTGCCCTTGGCCCAGGGCCCGCCTGATGTATGTGGCACTGATCTCGTTCTGCACTGGCTCCCTGGCCAGGTGGATGTTGTCCTGGTACCTTCGCAGGATGGGCGAGCCCAAGATGTACCCCTTTGGGTCGTGCCCTGCCCGGTCCACGCACACCAAGCCAAACTTCTCCACTATTTCCTGGATGTGCGTGTCTTTCCAGAGGTTGGGGGTCTGGAAGGTCTTCAGGACATCTGCCCCGCAGAGGAGCTTCAGCTCAGGCACAGCTGGAAAAACAAGGGTGGATCCCAAGAAAGTTACAGAAGGGTCATGGCCAGGAACGATAACATCATATTCTGTTTGAAATTTTCCAAAAATGCTTTTCTTGGAATGTATGGGGAACTCAACATCTCCGTGTTCATGACTTAAAAAGAAAAAGCACGTAAATGAATCTGAAGCTACGTCAGGGACATACAATTGTAAGTAATACTTTAATCAATAAATCTTTTAACATTGGCAAAGTGCCAAGTAATACAAAATGGGTTTTTTTTTTTTTTTTTTTTTTTTTTTTTTTTTTTTTTCCCCAGTGTTATACCACAAGGCTGTCTGTGGTTGCCGGACCCCATAGCAGAGTCCAAAGGCGGCTGTGCTGTACCTAGAACCCCGTCTTCTGATAGAAGGTGAGGTTCTTAAAGCCCTAGGACTAACAAGTCACTGCCTTTCTCAAAATCTATTTCAGCCCTAACACCTGGTATTTTTATAAGTACAATCTCATCCTAAAGGTTAATTATAAAGGATCTGTGGGTAACTAAAAGGTCTCTAAGACCCCAGCTGGTGACCTTTTCATCTGTTTTCAGTAAAACAAAGCTCTAGAACAACTGATCAACGTGGCTAATCCTTTGGCATTTGTGCTACTAGAGAATGATGATTATGATGATTAAAGAATACTTAACATGTATTGGTTGTTTACTGTGGGCACTATTGCTAAGCGCTTTATGTGTTTAATCTCATTTGAGCCTCAGAACAGCCTCAGAAGGTAGGTGTTATTGTTGTGCCCACTATGCGGAGGGGGAAACTGAGGCACAGAGAGGCGCATGACTCATTTAAGCAGAGGAGTCAGGATTTAAATGCACACAGCCAGCCTCCAGCTGGGGCATTTGAAACCGCTGGGCTCTGCCTCCGCCTGCTGGCAGGAATTGTACATGCATCACCCTGCGTGGATATTCCTGGCACCATTCCTGTTCAGGCCCCCTTTGAATGGGCTAATCGGAAAAGGAAAAACCAAGTCCATGCTAGAAGCAACCAGCAGGACCTCTAGTCCTTCTGGAAGCCAGTTCTAGCTTCAGTGAACGGCAAAGGCTGGGCTTCTAGGGCACGGGCATTTCTCAGTCACCCTGAAATCTCAGCTGGGAGGGGCTTCAGGGATACCAGCTGCTGGGGAAAACCTGATGTAAATGGTCGGTTTAGTCTCCTCTATTGTGAAACCTTCGAAGGGATCTGGACGTGGACCAGAGAGATGAGTTTACAAATGAGCACCAGACCAGCCGTGCACTGCAAAGTGAGAAACTAGAGATGTCATGGACAGGTCAGAGTTCCGGCCTCAGTCGGGCACTGGCTGCTGTGGGGCTGGAGCTGAGATCCTTCTCTGGGCCTCAGTTTCCCATCCGTGAAATGGTGGCACTGGACTTGTTTACTCATTTTAAAGCAGCAGATGTAATTATAGAAAACACACTTCAAACACTCTAGCAGCATAACTAGGACTCTAGTGCCAGACTTCTTAAGATTCAATTCCTGGCTCTGCCGTTTGACAGCTGTGTGACCTCAAGTTTAAAATGGGGATATTAACAGTACTTATCTCATAGGATTATCTTAGAATTGAATGAGCTTATAAATGTAAAGCACTTAGAACAGTGCTTGGAACAGAGTAAGTGTGACATACGTTAACTGCTGTCCGTCCGTCCGTCCATCCATCCATCTTTACCTAGTTATCCACCAATCCATTCATCAGCACATCCATTCAGCACTTATGGAATATCTCCTAAGTACCTGGCCTTTTAAAATCAATAAAACTGCATTTAAAAATTATTCAATAACTTAGACCTTTATCACTCATTTGGGCTGGTCCCATTGCTTACAACATGTATGTGGATCCAAACTACTCTGCACCTGTGAGATTTTACTCTAATTTCTTATTTATTTGACCATTGTAATGTAGCAAGAGACCACTGTTTGACCCTTCAAGCAACTGGGTTGCTGTTATGTGGTCTTCCTATGGGGGAGGTTAAATGATGTGCACTGAATTCCTGGGTCTTCTGGGGTCTGAGGCACACCACCCTGTTGCCACAGGTCAGGGATTCCTCTCCTCTGGATTTTTGTGGGAACGATTTCCACATATCCACTTCGATATTAGATATTGTTTGAATTCATTAACAATGACAGTGTGGAATATGATTCACTCTGAGCCCTTGCCCAGAAGAGACAAGTACCCACACCTGCCCCGTCCCCCAAGTCAAAGGCATGTCTCAGATCCCAACTCTGGGCAGTCCTGTCATCAGGCCCCCCGGAGGCATTCACATCTCCCTTTCAAATCCATTCACAGCACACTCTTACAAAAACTGCAGACCGAGTGACTCTGACTGTCTAAGTCCAAAGTCTGTTAAGTCTGAGGTTTTGAATAAATACTGCCAATTTGATTTGTCCTAACAGTGATATAGTGACATAAATAGATGTCCGTGGGCATTTTGGGGCAGTGTGCTTTTTGAATGGCCACAGGCTTTGGAAAGTTGCCCACACTCTTGGACATCAAAAGCACCAACCCTGAGGCCAGTCAGCCCTGGGTTCTAATTTCAGATCTGCGAGGACCCTGGGATAGTTATAGCTGGTGGGCCTGTTTCCTCAGCTGCAGTAGGGATAATAAAGCCTCCTTTGGGAGTCATGGAAGTTGAGTGATGGAGGGAATGCAATGGAAATCTCCTGCTTAGTGCAGGCACCGAGGGTGGCGTCTGGAGCATAGGACTTCTGGGTCTAGACAGGACAACCCAAGATGAAGCCAGGTATTGGCAACTGAAGGGTGGCACCCAAATTAACCTTGGAAGAGTCAGTGTGAAATGGAACCAGATGAAGCGTCTGCTCTGGTTGCATGAAAGGAGAATGGGGCTGAGCTGTGCTCGGGCCCCATCAGCCAAGGCAGGGACCACATTCACAAGCGACAGAGGCGGCCTGTTAAAGGACTGAGGCATCATCCACCCCAAAGCCTGACACCCAAGCAGCCCGGGACAAGGCAATTCACACGCCTCTGGGGGAGTCCAAGGAGGACTGCAAATCACAGGAGTGATGGGCAAGGCAGGGCTCCGGCAGCCAGAAAATGCTGAGCTCAGCCCCAGAGGAGAACAACGCATGACAAAATACACGGCACACAAAATAGTCCTTTAAAAACATGTCACTAGTAACATACAAGCGACCTCATCAAAAGCCAAACTTACGGTGAGAAAAAATCACCTGCCTTTTAAAAATTGCTCTAGTTCTTTTTTTCTGATGACAAACATGAAATCTATGTCAATTATGGGACGTATGGAAAATACATAAGTACTTAAAGTAGAAAATAGCAGCAACAATAATTCTTTCTACAAAAGACTCAATATTTTGGTGTATTTTTTCAGTCTTTTCTATTTAAACATGCAAATCGATGTGAAAGTATATTTACATATTTTTATATACTTGAGATTACACAGTATTGTATCCTGATTTTTTCCCATTCACCTCCTAAGTGTTTCTCCATATCATGAAAACCTTTTGTGTGGATTCTTCATCCTATATATACAGAGCATCCTATATACATCCTATATATATATATGTATACATCCTATATATACAGTGTAATTTACTTATACATTCCCTTACATTTAAACAGTAAGGTTGCTTTTATTTTGTGCCATTATAAAAATTGCCACGATAAACATCCTTCTGCCTGTCTTCATCCCAATTTCTAATTATCTCCTCAGCCAGATTCCTAGAAGGGGAACGTATCAAGCAAAGGGCACACACATTTTTAAGGCCCCTGCTATATTTTGGTAAATTGAAAAGCTCACTTTTCATTCAATGCAAACTTCCTTTATTTTATTTTATTTTTTGCGATACGTGGGCCTCTTACTGTTGTGGCCTCTCCCGTTGTGCAGCACAGGCCGCGGACGCGTAGGCTCAGCGGCCACGGCTCACGGGCCTAGCCGCTCCACGGCATGTGGAATCTTCCCGGACTGGGGCACGAACCTGTGTCCTCTGCATCGGCAGGCGGACCCCCAACAACTGCGCCACCAGGGAAGCCCCAAACTTCCTTTTTTAACAGTTACTTTGGAAGAGAACAAGATGAGTAGGATTTAGGGTTTGAACAGAGAGAAAGGGGATAAGGAACAAACCCCCAGTATCATAGGGCCAAACAGAGCAGACTAGTAGCCCCCTGGAAAGATAAATCCAAAAAGAATGCAGGGTGAGCTTTGGGGGAGGGAAGGACTGGTTTCACCACAGGGAAGTGGGTTCCAATCTGGGCCTCACAGGACAGACAGTTTTTCAACAGGGGAGCCAAGAAGGGAAGGGGGAGGCGGGGCACACCAGGCAGAGACAGGGATTCTGGAAGCATCTGCAGAGAGGTGAGAAGCTGGGAGCCTAAGCATGGCCTTCCTCCTACCTCACTGGAAGCTACTCCCTTCACTGTGGGCTCCAGCATCCTGAATGGCATGGAGTGCCCAGCACTTCCTGCCTGTGTGCCTTACTCAGCTGCCCCTCTGTCCCCGAAATATCCCCAGCCCCAGATAACCTGCTGATTCTATGAGTCATGGTGCAGGCGTCACCTCCTCCAGTCCCCCTAACCCATGTCTGGACTCACTGCCATTCACAGCCTGTCTCCAGCTCAGGGCAGGGGCTGGGCACTGGTCTCTGCTCTCAGCCAGCATCTCTAGAACCCTATTAGGAGTGACTGCTGAGCCAGAGGTGATTCAGAAAGAAGGCGGAGGGCTGAGAGTGCACACTGTGTGCTGTGCTCGGGACTGGGGGACAGATGAGGTGCCCATGCTGGCAATGGAGGGGGGCAGACAGGGAGACCATGGGCGTGTAATAAACATTGTAAAAGCTGATCATATAGGAGAATCTGTAGCTCCTTCTTTCTTGGACTCCCACTCTAGTGCACAGTTCCCCAGCGTGCCTATTACATATCCAGAGTCCCAGGCCCCATTCCCCCTCAGCAGGTCTGAGGCGTGGCCTGGGAATTAGCATTTCTAACAAGCCTCACAGGTGATTCTGCTGTGAGTGAGCCTCTGGCCAGCATTCAGGAACTGCAGGAAACCTTTAGGGCATTTTCAAGTCCTTTAAATTAATTGATTAATTAATTATAAACATATATATATATTCTTTTTCAGATTTTTTTCCATTATAGGTTATTACAAGATATTCAGTATAATTCCCTGTGCTATGCAGTAGGTCCTTGTTGTTTACCTATTTTATATATATAGTAGTGTGTATACGTTAATCCCAAACTCCTAATGTATCCCCACCCACCCTTCAAGTCCTTTTAGAAGAGTGTTTCCTGGTCTGTGTTCTGGGGAGCACTGGTTCTAAGAAACACTAATATGCATTAAAAAGAGCTCCATGATTAAAAAGTGCTAAGCGCGGCTGCGAGCCTCTTCCCTTTCTTTCAGAGTCACAACGCACATGAACATAGTAAAGGCTCTGAAAAGTCCTGCAGTAAAGACACCACTTTAAGTTTGCTTAACTGTGACATTCTGGAGCCCTTCTAATAGGGAAATAGTGTCCCACCAACTAAAGTTGGGAGAGCCGCTGGAGTGTTGGCCCAGTGGGACCAGCGATTCCCTGCTCATGGCACATCCTGCCCCCCCCCCATCAATGTTGCTGCTGCTTATGTGCCTGAGGGGCTATGCATTTGACCCCCGGTAGCAGGGCTGCCATGGGAGGTACTCTGAAATGACAGCTGACAAGATTCCATCAAACATCAGGAGTTGACAACAGGGTAGAAACCCAGGGCTACAAATTAAAAGGATAATCCAAATCGACTTTACATGCCTTAAAAATAGGTTTCCTCTTCCATGTAAAACACTGAGTAACACTGCTATAAAGTATTAGTTTAAGGGATATAATGGCACATTTTGTTTTCAAAGAGGCTAAGGCTTTCAAATGCAGCCCAGCAGCACCTGGAAGTTTATCTCTGTGTAGCCCTGACTGTAATCCAGGTCACAAGCGCAGGTCACAAGTGTAGGTAAACTCCTTTGGGGCAGAAAATCCCAATTTAGCGTAACAATTTACAAGGGATGGTGGCAGATTGGTTAGTTTGACCTTTCAACGTGGGAAGTGTCACCCCTAGCAGGCTTCGAAAACTCTCACCTGTGCCCAGGGGGCTGTGACTCCCGTTGGCCCGAAGCCCTGACATCTCACCCTCCCACAGAGGAGAGGGTCAGCACCCACCTGCGGGGGCTGGAGAGTCAACCTTGCCTTGGTCCAGGCCTTCCTTCCAGGGCAGAGATCTGAGCAGTTCGCTGTGATGATGCCTGTGTTGTAAGCATATGGGTTCAGGGGGCATCCATGTGGCCTACAGTCCCCCCAAACCACCCAGGGGGAGTCTCTGATTTAAGTCTCAACCTGCTTTTGTCCATTTTAGGTAGCTCATTCCATAAATATTTGCTGAAGGCCTACTATGTGCCTGGCCCTGTGCCAGGTGATGCGTCTGGGTCCTCACAGACCCCCGCGTCCAAGGCAGCTCACTGCCTTCTGTGAGCCCCGACTGAAAGGAGGAAATGAGCAGATTTCTACGCTTAGTATTTTCTTTCAATACCTCACTTTTTACAAAAAAAACTGAATAGGGATTATGGACCTGGGCTATTAGAATCAGACCTGAGTTCAAAATACAAATTTTCAGTTGTAAAGCTGGGATAATACACCTACTTTTTAGACTTTTGTGAAGGTAAATGAGCTAACACACAGCAAGCACTGGCACAGTGCGTGGCCCACAGCTGCCTCTCAAGATAGAGGCTCTCTCGGATCAGGAGCTAGTACTTTAGAATTTGACAGGGTGATGCTCAGAGCCTGGCTTGGAGCCAGACTGCCTGGGTTGAATCCCAGCTCCCCCCCCGGCCGGCGGTGGGACCCCGGGTGGGCGGTTTCCAGTCTCGGCACCTGCGAAATGAGGAATGATGACAGTGCCGGCTTCCCAGGGATGGTTAGGAAGATGAAAGGAGTTATACATGCAAAGCCCGCCAAGTGGTGTGCAGCACAGAGCGAATCTCATTACGTGTTAGCAGTTCAGATATGATTAGACTTACACCCATATGGCAGGCCCGGCCCTTTAAGCAATCTATCTTCTGCAAATCAAGAGATACCTGTGCCGCCTTCTTTTTAACAGAGCACAGGTAATCACCATGTCTTGTATCAATTTGATCTTCCATCTTCCACCTCCCGTGTTAACTAGAGCTGTGTTTGGGAAGGAGAAGTGCCTGGTGGGAGAAGCATGTGTTTGTAGCCAGGGTGGCTGGGTTCAAGTTTAGCCTCTCCTGCTTGTGCGAGCCTGGGTGAGTCACACACACCCTCAGGGCCTCACTGACCTCTGTCAATCGGTCAGGAAAGTTAATGCCGCCCTTGTCTACCCAGAGTATCACAAGAGCATGAAGGCCAAAGGCTTCTCCCCGGCTGGGGAAGTGGCTGATGCTGATTATTTGGAGCAGGTGCAGTGTAGAGGTTAAGTTCTAGAATGAGATTGCCTGGGTGGGAATACTGGTTCCAACTAGGAGCTGTGGAATCTTGGTGGGTGCCTTAAGCAATCTGCCTCCACTCTCCTCATCTGTAGAATGGCAGACAATGACAGAACCTGCCCCAGAGAGCTGTTGTGAGGATGAATTAAGGAGCTTAGCACAGCGCATCCACAGAAAAGTGCCCAATCAACGTTAGCTGTTATTAGTCTCCTTACTCTCAGTCTGTCTTCCCCGCCAGATTGTGAACAAGGAGCTCATTTAATTCATCCTTATATTCTTGGTACCTAGGGAACTGCTTAGTAAAGTCAGCTGAATTCACGAAGGATGGAAGGGGGATAAATACATACATTTAGTTCAGGTCCAGAGTCCCTCCTGATGGTCTCAGAGACTCAGCTGAGCCTTCTCAGGGCCTCGCTGGACTCGTCTGTGTTTCCATTACTGTCTTATTGCTTTGGTTTTAGAAAGCTTTACCTCTGAAGATTCACTTCCGGGTTAGTCTGGAATCTCGCATCAGACTGAAATAGGTTTGGGTCTCACCTCCACTTTCTCGCTGTAGGACTTTGAGTATGTTGCTGACCCTTTCAGAACCTCTGTTTCCTCATCTGTGAAATGAGGCCAAACTCACCTACTTCTCAGAGTTGCTGAGCTGACTAGATATTATATACCTGGCACACATAGTAGGTGATCAATGAAAGCTGGTATTATTTAATTTTACTTCCCTTGACGCTCCTGGTTCAAGTTGGCCCTACTTTGAATATCAGCTGGAGCTCTGAACTCTGGTGTGCAAATGATCATCTTTAACGCCAAATGCATCGTCCTCACAGACCTCCACTCTGCCTTTGTTGGGTGGGAGGTCGTTGCTGCCTCTTGTTGCCTGCCTGAGGGGTACCCTGGTGTGCCCAGCCTTGGGCCTGACGACTGCCCCTGGCAGCACGTTCTCTGTGTCCTCAGCAGCCCCCGGTCTCCCAACAATACCCGATCAGAAGGTCATTGTGGCAGAAGCAGAGTCAGCCACATCGTGGTCCCACCCGTAGATCACTGGTTTTGAAGATGGCCATAAGCATGGCTTCAGAGTTCAACAGACTAGGGCTCCACCACTTGCTTATTTGTTGTGCGACTGTGGTTAACTTAGCCTCTCTGAACCTCAGTTTACTCATCTGTAAAATGAGGACGACATAAGAGCATGTTTGCCAAGGGGCACGTGACCGAGGCCCTCCCCCAGCATGGGGAAAGGGTAAGTGAAATCAGTTATCAAGTGCCCTAAAAGCATGAAAGCTGGCCCAGATTTTTGAAAAAATTAGAGTAAAAATAAAAAACCTAATAAGGAGAAAAAGAATACTCATAAGCCCTACAGTGAATTGACTTCATAGTGACATATGTCACTGTCACCATGATGTAGATTCACTGCTGCGTCCACCAAGAGGATACTAAATGGAGCAAAGGGTGGGGTGGATTTCTACAATGCTTCTAGAATCACCTAACTTTACAATTTTAACCAGATTTTCAATCTTAAAAAAAAATGCTTTTGGTAATTTTAGGAAAACATTAGTAATTAAACAAATTTTCTAATGAAGCCCACCCCAGATACTGACAAAAAGTCTCAATCAGCTATCTGATAAAACAGTGTTGACTATTATCAGTGGATTCTTAACCTTGGCTGCACGAAATAAATCATTTGGGGACCTTTAAAAGTACCCATGCCTAGACCCTGCCCCAGAAAAATCAAAGTCTCAGGTAGGGGAGGGTGAGCATTTAGAAATAGCTTCCCAGGTGATTCCTACAGCCAGGATTGAGACCCCTGGTTTGGACTCATTCCGGTACTAATCATAAGCATGATTCACACACTTGGTGACTGAGGCTGTGGATCTCAACCCTGGCCACACATTAGAATCACCAGGGAGCTCTTAAAAATCCTAAGGCCCGGGCTTCCCTGGTGGCGCAGTGGTTGGGAGTCTGCCTGCCGATGCAGGGGACGTGGGTTCGTGCCCCGGTCCGGGAGGATCCCGCATGCTGTGGAGCGGCCTGGCCCGTGGGCCATGGCCGCTGATCCTGCGCGTCGGGAGCCTGTGCTCTGCAACGGGAGAGGCCGCAGCAGTGAGAGGCCCTCGTACCGCAAAAAAAAAAAAAAAAAAAAAAAAAAAAAACAAAG